TCAAAGAAGTTGAAGGCGGTAGGGTTGCTCATTGTAAAGGGCAAGCAGAGTGAGCCATTATAGTTGAGAATAACAAACAAAAGATTTGGTAGTGTTGTTCGCAATTTTAAAGGTTAAGTAAAAAAAGAAAGTGGCTCTAGAATGTTATTGTTAGTAAGTCCCAGAATAGCGGAATTGCGAGCATAGCCTTTGCTATAGTAACATAACAAAATTAAATTATGTTTCTCCTCGAATCAAGCTCAGCAGGCTCAGTAAAGCGAAAAGTTATTTTTTGAATGGTTTAATCTTTTTTCAAAGTGCTGTTAAGGCTGAACTGGGCCAAAACTTCCACTTTTAGAGCTTTTTTGCATCTCGGAGCTGCTTGGTACTACCCAGATCCTGAAAATCCTGAAAACTCTATCTACGACTACCTCATAAGCATGGATCTAAAAGGAATGATTGTGAAGACTGTCGCTAATCAGGTATGAAATTGGCAGTCTCATGTGGCCTTCAACTGTTAGGGAAAGGAGTTTTTCAGGCACTTGGAAAGTTTGTTTTGAGCGACGTGGAAAGTAATCGAGTACACGCCCTAAAACTAGCTGCGCAACATTCCTGAAGACCTTTTTATGTATCAGTTGCCTGCAATAAAATAGTATAACTGTTTCCGTACAACTTAGTGGAATATAATAAATGCATGATGTGTATATTGTCTGCACTCTGTATCTAGATAGTTAGATTATTGACAGATGAGACTGATTTCAAAAGGGCACTTTCAAAGTTCTGTCTACAATCTGATAATGAATAACATTCTGTTTGGTTGAAAATATTAGTTAACCCGAGTCATTGTGACTAACGTCTTTCTATATTACACATTTGAAATTTTTCTTGTAAAACCAATAAGTTCCGTGCATGTTATTATCTTAGTAAAGCACCTAGAGCATCAAAAGAGCTTTACACTTCAATAGAACTATTAAGGATTGAAAGACTTAAAATCTTGCGCTTAAAGTCATAGAACGAAGGTTACAATTAGAAGCCTAAGTCTATGCTGTAATAGATGTTTAGGTCGTCAAGTTAATACATTGCTCTACAGTCACATTCCTAATCACATACACAGTGTTAAGAAACGCTAAACCTCTTTCACAATTCTGAGAACTTTTTAATTATATGACAACGACTTATCGATCCGTGAAACAAAAAATAATAACGAATAAGTTCTCAAATTTTGGATTTAGATGCAAATCGTTTTGTGTCCAGATAAACTTCTACTTTTGTAAATTTATGCGTTTCTTTTACGCTCGATTTTGATACTCTAAAGATGACGAAAATTTAACTGTTTAGCATTCTAGAAGAAGACAATCCTGCCGCTAATATTTAA